AAAAAATATTATTTTTGCGTTCCTGTATATACAGCATGGCTAGCTTCCATATCTGCAGTCAACGTTTCGCTTTTTCCTGCGCAAAAATGTTGCGCTTGTGTTCACAAAGTCCTCTCAAAAAATAAAAGCAGCCTTTAGACGAGGAAGGAAAACAGTATTTTAAAAACATCCTTGGGAAGGAAATTAAACGAGAAACGTCTCTTATGGGGAGGAGATACAGAAAAAAAAAAAAATTATTTTCCGTTTAAATAACCATTTAGTCATTTATTTAATCGCACACATAAATAATAACAACGTCGTAGTGAAAAAAAAAAAGACTGAAGGGAACAAAATATAATCACAACTGCGGAGTAAAAAAAACAAACCCGAATTGCAGAAGCAACGCATTAAATTCAAAAATTTAATGATAAAAATAATCGCAGTAAAAATTAAAGTAGAAATAACGGTGTGCATTCAAAAGCCAAAAATGTACAAAAAAAAAAAAAAAAAAAAAATGATGGGGGGGGTGACAAAATGCTACCGCAAAATGGACGCGGAAAAAAAAACTTGCCATCTGATTTGTACACGTGCAAAGGCATTCCTACACATGGTTCAGGATGTAATAAAAGTGTAGTATGCTCATGTTGGATAAGGCAGACCGGTGTTAGCCTTGTCTCCTGTCACTGTTGCTCTGTGGCCAACATGAAATCGTGAGACACGTCGGGGAGTAAACTATATATGCATTGTCCGTGGGGGAGTTACACCCTGCAAAGGTACCAAGGTACATATCAATTATCAGTATTAAAAGTTCTCCTAGCAAATCACACAATGAATATACATCGAATGCATCATGCAAAGTAGGGTTATGTCCCCACAACGCCACCCTGCTTGCAGTGGATTCCTTCCTGAACCATTTCTGGACATACGAAAATTTCGTTAGGTAAGTTAATGGTACTCTTGCTGTTGGAAGGGCTACAACTATGAGTATCACATTTAGGAGAATCATCATTGTCGCTTAGGGCATCATTTAAGTTGCACCCCTGGGGGATGAAGCTATTTCTCACACTACTGCTAAGAGGTTCGTTAAAGTTCCTATCAGCAATTTCGTCAAATGTGGACTCAAAACTACCGCTACATATTTCATCTAAATCGCTACGTGTGTTTTCCCCATGTTCGTTATTAATGACAGGACTTTGTTTCTTCCTGTCAACCTCGCCACTTGTACCAACATTGTCCTTCATGTCATATGACGGGTGCTCATATAAATAGAGCAAATTTTTAAATAGCTTTTCTTGCCTCTGCGAATTGGTTATTTCTGAGAAGAACCACTTAAAGGCCTTGATAAAATCTTCGTTCATGAAATCAAATAAAAACGCTGCCTTCCTGTGACAGTCTTTCGCATTGTCCAGCAAAATATATGAACTCGAATTTTTATATGAATAATTTTCAGGGTGGAAAATTAAAATGGAACACGAAATTGATTTTATTGAATTTATGGAGTGTTTTATATCAAATGTATCTTTTAATATTCTTTTCATTAGAGAGTTAGGAATGTTATTATTTTCTCTCCCTGGGGGGGGTTGAATATCGCTGTAAAATAACGACATGTCACAAGTAATTATCCCATGTCCACACTGGTAACAGTTGGTACCTACGGAAACGTCGTTCCACTCTCGATTGCATAAGTTGCTGCCTATGGTAAGAACTCCTTTTTTTGCAAACTTGTTTTTGTTCACACTGTTACTCGTCACGTTGTAGACCACTTCCTCATCTTTTTGAAATCCGAGAGAGGGGTACAATTCTTTCGGAGTTGTCACTGTATAGTTTTTCTGCTTTGATTTGTTGGAAACCGCGTAGTGGGTCTCCTTGGTCGTCTGTCCATCACAGATAGGGACGTCTTCACAGTGTGCTAGGTCCTCACAAGGTGGAACCTCTCCCTCCAGGATGCCTTGCCCAACTTGCGCAGCCTCGTCAAAAGTGTTATCTGAACACGGACCAGAAAATTCTTTGTTTCCTCCGACAACTCCGATGGGATCACTGTCCCCTAACACAATATTATCATCTTGTTCACACGGTGCTGGGGCTGTATGCTGGCTAACAACATGCAGTAGCTGGGGTTTAATAAGGACCAGCCCACCTAGGGGCTCCTTTTTGCCATACGTGTCTTCATATCGATTTACAACCTCTATAGCGCAGCTAGCCAAAAAATCGTAACACAAAATGTATATATTTCTACAAGGAATTTTCAAAAAGTTAATAATAAATTTTAAAACAGTAAATGAATCGTTCACAATTGAAACAAGCTTCTGTTCATACCTGTTGAAACTGACCCCATATCCTGAATACTCCATCGCAATAATATTCATTTTTAATTTTTTATGTAGGGCATTCACCGTTGGGATTATCGTTCCTAAATCCTCATTAAACTTATGTAGGTATAAAATTATTTTATCATCTGTTGATAGTTTATCATCATTTTTTGAAAAGAAAAAAGCACACGGGATGGAGTCTGTGGTGATTGGTTCTGTCAGTACTAAATTTCTGGGTACCCATCCTAGCAAATTTTTAAAGTCATTATTTGTATACGTGCTTTCATGGAAGTATATATCACTACTGTGTGTATTTTCATCTGAATCGAATTTTATTTCATCGTCACTAAATTGGTAGCTTGTCAAAAGGTCATTTGTGTTGTTTTTTCGTATTAACGATGTTAAGTGCTGGTACTTGGAGTCGATTAGGTTGAGGCATTTTCGGGTGACTTCTCTTAGTCGGCTTTTGTTCTTTTTATAGTTTTCTAAGTATGTTTCCTTGCAGAACATTTTCGCTTCCTATTTCGGTGTGCACAGTTGCGGTATTCTTGGCGCGTACAATGTTCGTCTCTTCTATGTGGTGAGGTACGTCCCCTCTATACGCGTGGGTAATGCGTACCTATGCACACATATAACTTGGTGCGTTGTTAAAGAGATGCACACAGTAGAGGGGGGGGGGAGGCGGAGAACAAGAAAAAATTATTTTTAAGCTTAAAAAATTTAGCAAGCTCTATTTCAAAATTGTCGAAACGGCTCGCTCATATATGTGTAAAACTTCAAGCTAATGGAAATATCATGTGCTTCCTCAAAACATTGTGGTGTGTATTATATATTTGTTGCAAACTTGCTCAAAAAATGTAGAACAAATGGGGAAATTTTGTGTTGGAAAAATTTACACACGGAATAAAGTGAGTAAAGTGTTGTTCGCTTCGTTAATTGGTGAATTAATTTTTTTTTTTTTTTTTCTGCACTTCGACGCTTCTGAGTTACTACATGTGCACATAACACCTGATAGGGGAACAACTATGTGTTCACCTGTCCGTTGTGTAAAATCAAAAAACCATAGGAACACTCTCTTAAAAATTAACAATGCATGTTCTTTATTTCGGCTATTCGTCAATATCTCAATAAGGCAATTTTTTTAAACAGTGTGTAACGTAGTAGCGCTAGGAACGTGGTTCGTTCATAAAAGAAGCATGGGTTCATAAATTTTATTTCACTTAATTGGTAAATTAGAACAAAGCGTAAAAAAAAAAAAAAAAAATGAAAATAGTGAAAAGTCTGCAAAATTGTCATGAAAAGTCCTATAAAGGTTCAGAACAAAATGATGCCATTTTTTCACAAATTGTTGTTAAAGCAGGAAGGATAATTAGGAAAGTTTTATGCAACAATGGGTTTACTCTATTAAGGCTTTTTTTTTCACGCCCCGGTGTGATCCCGTAAATTGCTATAACATGTTCAATTGGCTTCATTTAAGTTCAATTTAATTTTTTTTTTTTTTTTTTCCTTTTTTGCCCGTTTCCCATATCTGCATAAAAAGTTAGATATAAGAACAAGCAGAAAACTTACAACGAAGCTTCTTTTGCGCGCACATTCTTGGGATCACGTGGCATTAAAGGGGTCACCCCAAAAATGGAAAAAAGAAAAAAAAGGAAAGAAAAAAGGGTGATAAATTTTGTATGTATGCATATACAAAAAATATCCGCTTCAATTAAGCTGCAGAACTCATAACAAGGTAGAAATTTTTGCAAAACTTAAAAATTCTATAAAAGCAGAAAAACCAGTTTGATGTTTTCGCGTGGCTCAAACCTTTGAAGGAAAGGAAAAACGTGTAAAATAACAATGGAAGATTGCACATTCAAAAAAATTAAAAGCAAAGGGAAGGTTTGGCCTCATCGACCACTTACGCAAAAATGCACACTGCAAATATGTTCCACGTAGAGGCAACTTCAAACTTGAAAATGTTAGTAAATGGTTTGTTATTTTTTCTGAAATGTTCATATAGCGTTTTTTTTTTTTTTTTAATGAGGAAAAAAAAAAAAAAACAAAGCTACCTAAAAGGATGTATTTACATAACATTTTTTTTTTTTTTTTTTTTTTTGTTTTACCCACTGCGCAGAAATGTCCTATTCTCACTTTAATGGAAAATGTAGAAAAATGACTTCAATGAAAAGTGAATTCATCTTTGGGGTAAAATATGTCAAAAGGAAAATATTATACATCACCACTGTTGTAAACACATATGAAAATACATTTGTGTAAGTCTAAATAAATGCGCTCTACAAGTAACAATTCCACACACATTATTGTCGTCATTTTTAAAATACTTTTCTGAACGAGCTAGCTAAAATGAATTATTTCGTTGTGTCCATTTGTTTTTTCCTTTGGTGTGTTGTTCAGAATAATTTTGTTCTAAATGAAAAAATTATTCCCATGAGTCCTGTAAGTTAAATGTGGAAAGAAACCAAAAAAAAGAAAAAAAAGGGAAAAAAGAGAAAGACTAAAAGAACGAGACGAGGGCGAATTGAGCAGCTAAATTGTCTAGCAAATTACGAAATAACCCTAATAATGTTCGTACAAAGTAGAATCCTTTTGTTACATTTGGCTTACCTATTGTTTAGGCGAACCGTTCAAAATTAAAAAAAATGATAGACCGTGATGAGGACTTCAAAATAAATATACATGTAAGGAAAAAAAAAAAGAAAAAAGAAATACTGCGTAAATGGTGAGGAAAAGAATGTACGAAAAAGAAAAACTCTGTTTCGTCCTTTCTCCATTCGCTTCTTCATTTTCCCCGCGCAAGGCCCCCGTGGAGGACACACAGGAAGTGTTGGAATCTTTGGATTCCCTGATGCGGGTGGAAGAAATCCAGAGAAAAGTCGACGAAGAAGAGTTCATGGAGGACAAACAGAGGCTGTTGAAAGTTCATAAAAAGAGAATTCAGTAAGTGCCTTGCACACATGAGGGCGTAAAAATGGGTACACACACATATATAATATATATATGTACCCATGGACACCATAAAATCATTGGCACTAGCACCGTCATAAAAGCGTTAAAGGAGATCCATCTCCATTACATAAGCATTCCCTGTCCATCTGCCCCAACTCGATGCCACTCTCGTGCACGCAGGGATATTGTTACCTCGGCGTTTGAGCCCCTCCACGCTTTTCTGCCCAACCCGCTGCAGTACCTGGTTATTAAAGGTAAAACTAGAGGGAGAGGGGAACAAAGGGGAGCACAAAAACGAGAAAGAACCCAAATAAAAAAACGGGAAAGACATGAAAGAATTGTGTCATCATCTTCCTCTGCAAAATCGTTTCGAGCCCAATAAACCTACATTAAATGGAGCGATTGTCACGTAGCTTCCCAAGCGGCACCTTTAAAATAACAAAAAAAAAAAAAAAAATGCGCTGATTGTTCGTTTTGTTACAATTTGCGTGTTTTCGCGATTGTAATAGTTGTTGCGTCGGGGGAAGTGTTACAGAGTCTCCCTGTGTATGCATACGGATTCATGTATTCACAAACAAGCGTCGTTACCACTTGTTCCGCTTAACCCTTGCAGATGTCCACTCGTACTTAAAGGACCAAGAATAACGTCGTTGTGCATACATCTGATTGGTAGGCCTTAAATATAGTGAATATGTTAAAAGTTATGGAGCTGAAACGGGTGCGCCTATAATTATGTGCTTGCATGCTTTGGAGGAGGGCCATAGGAGTTATAAGAAATCAGAAATGGCACCCGTGGTGAAAGGAAAAAGTGAGAAAAAAAAAATAGTGTAAACCAAATTAGGATGCACACACTGGGAAATATTAAAAGACACAATGTAATTTAATGGTTTGTTGTTTTGTTAAAGTGACCACGTCCTTTTGTTGTATGGTACATGTCAAAATGTCTTCCTTTTACGTGTTTGTATAGTTCCTTAATAGGAATTACGTCTTTTTTTCATTTTTTTTTATAATTGTTTTACTAGTGTGCAAAAAGTAATTCGTCGAGCGTGATTACGTTGCTCACGCTTTTCATTACAAGTATGAATAATTCGTCACAAATGAGTTGGCTTTTTTGGTCAATACGGGGGACAAGACAATATGGTGCACGTATGCAGAAAAAAAACACACGTTTACATCGCTCTGCTAAATGGCTCCATTAAATAGCACCCCATAAGTCATGCAGCAAAAGGATGCGTTCACACAAGGTACGTTTTCATCGACTTCAAAACGTCTAGCAATATAGGCATGTTCAGCATGGTGGCTAAATTTTCCATAATCTCCAGTGTTCGGGTCCAGTTGGTAATATCCAAACGGGGTGTAAAGGTTTGCCCGCATTTGCAAATTGCCCTGCGGTAGAAGGACTTGATGGCGTTGCAGTTGTTGCACACGAGGTCTTGGGCCTGCACAGACATGTGAAAAAAAGGTAAGTGGGGGGAAATGATCATCGGAATAGGAATTGCTGCATGACGGTGACGGGGACGCAATATGCACCCAAGAAAAGACGTTCCTTCTAGGCAGCTTGTGCTCATCTGCGCAGTGTAAAAAAAAGAAGAAAAAAAAAACTTACATTATACGCATCAAAGGTCTCCTGCAGCAGCGACAAAATTTTTAGTTCAATAAAATCGTTGTCATATTTGGAGTTGCAATTTTTGCACAACCAAATGAAGGACGGCTTTCCATTAATCTCCGCCTCCACCAAACTGGTGACAACATTCATGTGGTACACTGATGAGCAATTTTCACAGAAGATATCTTTTAAAATTAATTCTGGGCAGGGACTTTTCCAGAGGGAATTTTTCCTGTTGTATTCACTGTCGCCCACAATTTCAAAAAGCTCATGTCTTTTTTCGTGGAAAGCTTCATTACAATTTTCATTCTCTAGGTTTAGCAGTTTATCATTTTGCATGAGAAATAAGCAGAATTTGACAATTTCTAGTCTCCAGTTATTTTCTCTTTTAGCTATATTTCCCAAAGTTTTTGGAAATAAAAATGGGACCATGTTCATATTACTTTCGTCCATTTCATCCATTTCGTCATCATCATATGGCCAGTAATTTTCCACTAAATATTTTTTATACTTGATCGATTTTTTAATTTTTTTATACACATGTCCTGGCATGAACCACAGATCTTTTAATTTTTCTTCTATCTTGTATGACAGCACGTCTACATTTTCGTTGATGAGAGCTAAACTTTCGCAGACTTCTTCCAAATCGTCAAATGATTTATCATAAATATATTTCATTTGTTCTCTTTGTGTTAGGTTTATCTTGTCCGTTAATTTGTCACTTTTGAGGACCATATTGAAGTAGTTCTTTTCGTCCTTTCTGTTTGCTGCTGCCATATTTCCCATTTTGTTATCATTTTGTTCATCCACTGGGATTGCTTTGCCTGGCGAGGACAAGGTGTTCACTCCTCCTTCCTGTTGTTTGTCACACTGGGGATCCCACTTATCATACAGCGTCATGATGTCTTGGAGAGGGTTCAAGGTGATGACATCGAGGACATATCTCAAGAAGGATTCACAAATAGGGGGAAGATATTCAATTATCTTTAAATTTTCATCAGTATTTTCTTCATTCGGATTGGAATATTCCTTATACCTTATAAAATTATACTTATCAAATTGGCAAGCTGCAATGTATTCCTGTTTAATATAAAAAGGCACATTAGCATATATGGAGTCACAATGGGAGAAGTACTGGATTAGGCCTTTTAAAATATTTCTGCCCGATATGACTGAAAATTCATTAAAAGAAATGACGAAATTTCTAAAGTCCGCAAAAATTATATTAGCATTAAATTTTTTCTTCAATATGTTTATTAAATTGTTTTGGTAAATTTCTGTGCACTCTAACACTTTGTTGTATAGTGCGATATCGTAGAGCAGACTGGAATTGTTGGAGACCCATGAGTAGAAGGACGTGAATATTTCAGAGATACTTTCGAATGTCTTATTTGTTATTAACATGGACAGGGAGGAGATCTTGGATATGAGGTACTCTAATGATTGGCCCAGTATTTTAAAAGCGTGATTGCTGAATTGGGAGACATGTGAGTTATGTTCCACGATGGTATTTATGTCGTATTTATTTTTGATTAAGTTTTTCTTTTCGTTCAAGTCGGACATACCATCCCCCTCTTCCTCTCCTTCCATGTCATCATCCTCATCCTTGTCGTTGTTGTGGTGATTGTGTCTCTTCGTGCCATCACCCATTTTATGTTGTGCGATGCCCGTTCTTCCTTTCCGGTGCGAAATTCCCCCAACTTTGTTATAATTGTCGTCCGTCGTGGACATATCATCTTCGTCCAACAACCCCTCCTCATTGTTCTCACCTTTCTTCCCATACTTCATCTTGTGGCGCTTCTTCTCCGCAGTGTCATGTTCAGTGCCTCCCCACGCTCCTCTCTTGTCTCCTTTCTTATTGTGGTGGGCATTCCTTCCAGCAATGGACGATTGGTAGTACTCAGTAGGCGGTTTCACATTAGCATACTTGGTGAACAATCTAACGCTATTAAAAATGAGAGACTCATTAAAGAATAGGTGTACTATATACCCCCTGTAAATGCCTTGGTTTATTATGTCACTATTTTTCTTCACCAAATCGTAGTCACAAAAGTTGTTGATATTTAAACAGGGGATTCCCAAATCGTAGTGGCCAAAATAGGATAGCCATAAAATCCCTTTGTATCTTTTCAAAAAAGATGCATACAGCGTGTCATATATAAATTTATGCTTCTGATTTTTTCTGCTAACATTTAGCAGGTTGAAAAGTGGTATATTTGATATTCTCGAGAAATTTAAATCTTCTTCCACTTTGTGATAATTTTCATAAAAAAGTTGTAAAGACAAATTGAAGGCATGTTTTTTGTAATTAATTCGGTTAACATTTTGATACTTTACAGCATTTTCAAATTTGTAAAAGTAGCAAGGGAAATATTTGTTGGTACTCCACCATCCTAATTTTTCTTTATCCATAGTTGACGATACGTAGAAGATGTACTTCTTCTTTCCCATCAGCATGTTGCTTCGATATTTATTTAAGTACACATCTAAGTGCTCCAACACTTTGTACACATTGGCGTTGTCTTCAAAATAGGTTTCGAACTTTCGGTAATGGTACAGGAATAGGAAGTCTCTATGTACGTTTTTGATAAAAAATTCTCTGTCAAGCAGGTGTTCTTTCGCCTGGTTTAGGGCGGGTTCTCCTATTTGAGGGTCGCCATCCACCGCGTTGTTCATGCCGGTATCACTCTCCAGCTGTGTAAACTTGAGGAAGATTTCGTATGGGTCGAAGGAGCCGCAGTCCTTACCGACGCCGCTGAACATGAGCTTACAGCCGAACAACTGCTCATCCGCGTTCTCCTCAAATTGGTCATATACGCCGATGAAGATGCGGTTACACACATTATCCACGAGCGTGTGGAAAATATGGACATATATGAAATGCACATCATCCAGGTAATCATGAGAGACATTTTTCACTTTGTTTTTCTCTACCTTGGAGAAGCAGTGAGACTTGAAGCATTTGTTTTCATCAAAAATGGAGTTGTAATTATTAGAGTCGATCTCTACTGAGTTTCCATATCTGCTGAGGAAATCAAAATAAAGTGGAATCCTTGTCTCGTACACAGAGACGATACTTTCATGGTAGTTTGCGTTCAGCGTGTTCACGACGTATTTGTTGAAATACCTTTCCGTCATAATGAACTCGTACAAATTAAATATTTTTACATTTCTGGGCAAAAAACAATTTGTGAATGCGTTGGAGTGAAACATGAAATTGTCACTGTTGTGTGAATTGGATGATCCGGATGAAGAAATTAATTTGATGGTAATCTTGTTGTTACTTTTTATGTCCAGGGGATCATAATTATTGATGTATATATGTCTATATATTTGAATTTTTATTGTGTAAAATTTGTTCATATTTTTTAAAGACACAATTGCGTAGTATATTCCATCATCATCATTTTCATCAATCATATTCGTTTCGCTAAATATGTCACCCTCGTCGTTGGAAGAATCTGATTCGGTTTCATGTTTGAAGTATTCCAAATATGGTTTCAGTAATGTCTGTTTTTCGTTCTTTGTGTAATTATTCACAGGACCATTCGAACTGTTTCCATTCGCTGCACAGGGGTTAGTGCCACTATGTTTTCCTTTTTTTGGCGTGGGGGCTACTTTTTTCTTCCTTTTCACCTTTTTGTAAAGGTACACAATATCCATGGCGTTCTGAATGGAATGCAAATATTTGGGTTCCAGGCTGGACAATTTTTGGGAGTTGGTTTTTTCATCATCTGCATCAGCCAGGTAGGATGAAGGATTGGCGCCAGTCCTTTTCCTTCCATTTTCATCTTCTTCATCATGTGCGAGGGAATACATCTTCCTCTTATTCCTGTTCTCTTTTCTGATTTTCTTAATTTCACTTCTATTACTTTTCCATATTCGATTATTAATTTGCATCCATTTTTGGAAATTCGTTTGGAACATTTCGAACAGCTCTGTGTACTTCAAATTGCTGATCTTCTCGTGGTTAATAATAATAATATTGTTGTTCTCCAGGTAACTGTCCATCGAGTTTACTTTTTTGTAGCCCATAGAACCAGAGTTGCTGTGCGTGAAGCCGGTCAAGGTGTTATCGTTAAGTTGACCCAGCTTTTTCCGCTTTGAGATGAAGTTTTCCAAAAGGCACTGCTCCAACGAGCGTTTCTTCGGACCGACAGGGGATGCACCGTTGTGTAATGTGTCAGCTGAAATGTTCATCGCATTGTATGCGGGATCCACTGCGAATGGGCTCTTTTTTTCCAAGGAGTGCAAGCTAGGGTCGTCTAACTTATTCTTCTCCTTTACTTCTTCGTCCATTTCTCCCTTTAACGGGGTACTACTGTTAGCCTGATCACTCGAAATGCACTCCTTCTTAACGGTCTTTTTAACAAAGAAGGCGGTGATTTTTTTCTGTTTGCCCTCTGAAATATTAATTTGCTTTTTGAGCCACTCGGGCACAGAAATGGAAGTGATTGGGTTGTTAATATTTTGTTTAATAGCGGGGATAATGACTAACTTTAAAATTTGGACTTCTAATTTTTGCTTGTAATAATCCCAGTCAATAATATCCCTTACATTAACAGGGACGTCAGGAGGGAATTTAACACCTAACCATTTTCCCAAATAATGAATTTGCGTTTCCACGTTAGTTTTAAATATTTGAATAGGGATGGCCCTGAATGTGATATCGGATCCTACAGGCTTGGAGGCAACGATGAATTGAGTAGACACATTATTGTCTTCCACGTAACTTGTATTGCATAGCAGTTCACTCAACCGCTTAGCAGTAGTAATACCAAAGCTTTTAGCATTTGGTTGTTCCTTCACCGATTTGTTTAAAACTTTCTTGGCTAAAATGAGATCAAATAATTCGTCGTCATTATCTATGTCTACCGCCTTACTGTCTATCAAGTTTTTCCACTTGTTTGCAGTTAGGGAAGCATAGTAATATGACTCTTCCTTTGTCTTTCCCTTTAAAAAGTGATTAAAAATTTCGCTTTGGAATTTCTGTATAATTCTTAGCTCCCCTCTTCTTTTAATTTCGAATCCTTTGAGTTCGCTAATTTTATATTTGTCATTAAAGACGACATATCTTTTTTTGAGCAGTTCATCAGACTTTTCTGATGCAGGTAGGAACATACCATGCCAGGGACCATCCAACTCAAAGAAAATTTCATTTTTGCTTATGCATTCGTAATCATCTGTGTTTTCGTTATAAATTAGATATTGATGGTTTGTCCATTTCTTGTGCATCTCGAAATTTAAGATATTCGTAGGGAATTCAAATTCTACCTTTTTCACACTTGCGTCATTTTTTAATTCCTCCTCTGTTTTATCTTCATATTCTTTTATTTTGTTTAAAGCATTTTTCTCTACAATGTATACGTCATATATTTCTGGGAATTTTTTTGGAAGCATGCACCATATTCCATCTGTGTCCAGCTCCACAGGTATTCCAATTTTGTTAATAAGATTAAAAGCGCCGTTTATTATTTGTGACCCTGTGTAAGTTACAATGGCTCCCATTTGATCTGAGTACCAGCGACTGCTTTTTCGCTTTACATATCCGTAGAAGCTGTTCAGTATGCACTTGTGCGCTAATTGTAACGAATCGTTTAATAAAATTTTATCGTCCAATTCTTGAATTTTCATGTAGTCTATTTTGTTTGCCTTTAGCAGTTCCTTTTTTTCATGTTCGCATTCCTTGAGCCCCTTTTTGTAAACGTATCTTCTGTCTCGGAAGGTCCTCACGGTGTCCACGTAAAAAGGGTTTTCCCTCTGGCACACCAGACTCGAGGCGTCCACTTCCTTGGCGACCTTTGTCTTTTTGAACACCCTCTGGGAGCATTCCTTTATCACTTTCATTAGTTCGTCGTGTTGCTGCTTTTCTGTCAGCTCATTCCAGCTGCGGGGAGGGGGGGGCGATTAAGCGGGGCGGTGAAACATGTGCACGTGGTGCATAAGTTAGTAGGCGCGGTGTACCAGTTTGTAGGCGCGGTGTACCAGTTTGTAGGCGTGGGTGCGCCACGTATGGCCGCTACACGCAGGAACTTACGACTTCTTCTTGCTGATGGGCACGTTCGTCGCGCTGTCGTTCGAGCTGCTGTCAGACTCGTCCTTGTTATTCATCTTGAAGAAGCTCTTCTGGGGGTAGAAGAGGCGCGTCTTGAGGTCCTGCTTGAGAGATAGCACATGGCCATAATCAATGGGGGAAATTTCGAGCTTCCTCTTCCACACCATCTGTTTCTGGCACAAGTGGCGCTGCTTGTAGTAGGAGCAGTTGAAACAGTGGTCCTGTGTTACGATGGCATTTGGTTGCAAACGGTGCGATAGGATGATGTTCGGGTACATGGCAGCAACATCCAAGTGGTAAATATTGGGGCATATGCTAATGCTAGGGTTTTGGATGAAGAAATTTAATTTGTCTATAATGTCATTTTTAATTTGTTTCAAATTAATAATTTGATTTTTGTTAATATAATTTTGGTCACTAGGACTGCAATTTTTGTTCAGATCCTTTTGAACCCAAAAGTCGATAATGCTATCCACATTTTGCAACAGATATTTGTACGTGTCTACATCTAAGTTGAAGTGCTCCTTGAGATCGTCTCTGTAGATTCCACATTTTAGACTCTGCACAGTTCCACCAACAAAGGAATCATCATATATAAAATATTTTTTTTTACTTTCGACATCAGTGAAGTATTGATTATATGCAGGCTTGAACTTGTTAGGGAAAAGAATATTTTTTTTATACGCCTCTGCCATTAGTAACTGTTCACATAGGGTTCCACTTCCCTGTCTCAGAACGTTGTCTGGATTCATGGGTATAATGGAGCACAAAGCGAATAAAAAATTGTGTATATATTTATCATAGAGATAAAATGTGGCAACTGCATCTGAGACACTGTATACAGCCAAATGTTGTGGGTTCTTTTTTGCAATAGAAACCATAAGTTCTGGGTCCACCTCGGTAGGGTTATATTTTAGCTTAATTTTACACACACTCTTTAATGTTCTGGACCCATTAGGTAAGTAAGAATCCCGTTCGACCCACTTGTATGCATCTATATTTAGAATAAAATTACATGAGCATTCTTGCTTGTTGTTATTCATGATGAACCCAATTTGTTTAGGTACACTCAAGTTGTTCAGCTCGCATCTCCGGAAGAGGTACGGAATGTCAAAGAAGTCCCCATTGTATGTGACAAAAATGTGGATTTTCAAAAGTTTTATATGTTCTAAAAATCTTTTTAAAAGGAAATATTCATTTTGTTCATTGAAGATTTTGAAGGTCCCTGCTCCAGAGTATTCTTCATTTGGCTTGTATAAAAACTCTCTAATATTTTTGCTCATCACATTTCTGTTAACTATTAGGTACCCCTGTGCGTTGTACATATAGGATATGAGGATAATTTCGTCCTTTTCTTTATCTGGAAATTTCAGTTCATCTTTGTAACACTCGATATCCCAGGCAAGTACATTTAATGGGGCAAGGACTTTCTTATTTAATACCTCGAAATGGACTGCATCCGTCTCTGTGTACAATTCTTCTTCATCCCTTGTGATCCTATACCATAGTCCACATCTGATATTTTGATCTATGCATATTCGTGTGGTGTACTTCACATCGTATTCATATATCTCTGTTATTTCTTGCAAAATTTCTTCCCTGCTTAGAATTTGCTTCTTCGTAGTTACTACTATTTCGTTCATGTTTAGCTTTTGGGTGTTCACCGTTACGTGTGTATCGTTTTTCTTAGCTCTTCCCCCGCGGTCTCCAGTGCTGTTGTTGGATGTGTGTGTCTTTTTGGAGTCCTTTTGATCCTCTGTGTGAGCACCTCCACGTTCTTTTTTGATCACCCTGCCAATTTCGCCAGGCTCCTCATATTTGGTATAGGAAACATCGTGCTTGTAAGAAAAATCTAATTTGCTCTGTGATAGTTCATATTCGTATTCATTAAAAATATGCTTGTCGTTATTTGAAGTGTTGTTGCACTCCTTATTCTTCTTGTTTCGCTCAATTATTTTGGAGATAAAATCCCTCGCACTCAAGAGATTTTCTATAGTGTCGAAGGAGAGTTTAAAGAAAATGTTACTCAGGTAGCTCCTTTTCTTATTTAGGTGGTCATACAGACTCAGGTCTTCCTTCTTCACGTAATCTATGTCGACGTTGTATTTGTCCAACTCCTTCCTTAGGTACTTGGTCACCGCCTCGTAGTTGTGGATGTTCTTCGTTTTCAGGTAGAAGTACGGCCGGTAGAACATAGTCAGTCTCCACGTCTTGTTATTGTCCGACACGAAGTACATATGCACGCCTGAAGGGGGTACCAGCGGTGAAAAGGGATGAGAAATGGGTGGGGCGGCACCAGCGGTGTAATTCGATGCGGTCAGGTTAGCATGTTCTGGGACGATGCCACGTCCTCCCCTGCGCACTTGCATTACCTGTCTTTTTTTGCGACTTGTTCGAATTGTTGACAACCACATTGAGAACGGTGGGCACTATGTTGTACAGATACCCCTCCTTCTGCCCTTTACTCAGCCATGGTTTAATGTTGAACTTATTTTCCAGCTTGATTAACCTCTCATACTCGTAGTCGGCGTTTATTTTGGAGTCCTTTTCCCACCCCTTCGTCCTGGCCTGCGTCGTCATTTTGCGGGTGGGCAGAAGAGCAAGAAGTGCACGGAGAGCTAGCTAGAAGCTCACACGAAGAGAAAACAAACGAGTGCAAACAAAATGCAATTTATATTTGCAACACACAATTAACGGTGTTGAGAAAACTGTCATTCATTTTGGACACGCCCAGGTATGAAATACGCATAGAACAAAGGCACTGTTCGCCTGGGCATATGGTAAGGCAATTTCACTAGGTGAATGCTCCGGTAAATTTGAGAAGCACAGGGAGAAATATAAGTGAGGGGGAGGAAAAAAAAGAAAATGAAAAGAAAAAGCATAATAGTAATGATATATCCCTTAAAAGGAATGCAAAATTTGATTTCAAAACTGAAAAAAAGATAAAATAAAAGGAAAGTGAAAAAATGTGCAATCTCGATACGGCCATGAAATACCCACCGTGAGAGATTACCAATTGACATAAAATGTGTAAGCTATTTAGGAAGGTATATACTCACATGTAAGATAATAAAAATTTCTCTCTTTTGTGGTAGCCACCTTTCCCTTTTAACCCGGTCCATTCATGGTATACAAAAAAAGGCATGAGGTGGTGAGGAAGCCTAATTTTGGCGTCATCAAAAGTTCCCAAAAGATGTAGCGTGTCTAGTGCGTAAATTTGCGCGGGTCTTGATTTAACGAACTAGGAAAAAAAAAAAAAAAAAAAAAAAAAAAGGATACAAAAGGGAAAACTCGTTTATTCCCTTTTCATTGCTGCTAAAAAAAAAAATTCGTAAATCGATATGCCTTCGGGCAGGATATTCATTTGGAGAAATCGTCCAGGGGAACAAAAAAAGGAAACGAAAAAGGATCGACAAAGTAGACGAAAGCGAAAGCTAACACGCAAGAACGCAAACGAAGGTGATAAGACAAGGCACACTTGCATGCCGTTCTCTGAGAGAATCGAATGTACGACAAAATGGATGAAACGAATTAAACTCCGTTTATGTGTATGTAGCCACGAGGGGGAATTAGGGCCCACTTGCAAACGGCAAGCTACATATGAACACAGTGTGAAATATCTTGCCTACCAATTTCTATAATTCGAAAATAAAAAATGTATATGCTAGGAAAAATTGCGCACACTTTAATTTTAATTTCTTTTCATTTCGCTTCGTTGTTTTTTTTTTTTATTCCATTGTTAAGATGACTCTCTTCCTGCTAACATGTCAACAAGAATTTTAAAAAATGAATCTCTTTGTGGTCGCGTGTGCCCCAGGAAGAAGCGCCCTTGTGCGGTTAGCGGCGTGTTGAAAGCTAAGAAATTTCATTGACGCGCTTCCAACATAGGGGGTGTTATAAAAGTAAGAAAAGGTGAGTTCATTCCTCTCGACATATTCTCATGCCCACCTCATTACCAAATGTTTTATGTTCATTTCCAAAATTTTACACTTGTGGTATAAACAGGATATTCCTCCTTTTTTTTGGAAAAGAGTGCAAAAAAAAAAAAAAAAAAAAAAAAAAAAAAAAAAATGGAAAGGGCGCACCCCATTTCTTGTAACCATACACCTTTTAAGTTATCTCCTTTACGTAATTCTTTTTTTTTATCCACAAAAAAAAAACAGCTCTTTTAGTAGCTCAAGGGTCGTGGGATCTCCACATATGTGCAAAGCCACTACTACACATAGTGCAGTGAAAATTAGTTTAAGCATCCATCTAGCAGATATGAATATGAATGCAAAGAATTGGCATGATAGGCTTGGTCCACCTTAATGTATTAAAATTTGGAAATCCGGGGTTTGCATACTTGAGCTCAACACATTCGATAGGGGAAAATAGAAAAAAAAAAATCTTTCATTTGTTACATATGCCAAAGCAAATTAACAAACCTTAGTGTTCCCACCAGCAAGGTGCTCTGGTCCATACCTGTAGTGGGAATATTGTCTGAATAAAGCAGAATGTTAATCGAATATACCTACTCACGTTCGTGTATGTTTATATGCATACGTTTAACGTAGACGGCGATAATTGCATGGCATGCTATTCCTCTTTGAAGAAACAGCGAGACACACTCGTTCTGCACTTTTCCAAATTTAATACCCTCATAACTTCATAAAAATGGGCATTTTTTTTTAAAGAGCAAGGACGTGGAAACTTCCACGGGACGCACTTAAACGAGCAAATTATTTAAATAGGCGAAAAATAAAAAAGGGGAGGTTACAAAATATATATAAGGCGTGATGAATACAAGTTGTAGTCAAATGAGATATATTCGGCAAACACTTATCGAAATAAAAATGCTCAAAAATCAAAAGCAACATGGGCTGGATGGAAGTGACGCACAACAAATTGGAAAACTCAATCCGAAGAAAGTGAAGTGAATAGTGAACACAAACACGCACACAAAAAAAAGGAATAATAACCATAACCCAAATAATGAAAACAGTGATGGGTAATAATAAAGCAAAACGGGATCAAATAAAATAACTAATTACAACGGAGGGGGGAGAGGTGTTTCGGCAAAAAAGCAAATATACACGGAAATAATGATAGTGTTGGTAGAATGTGTGTAGCTATCTGTCTTCTGTTCTCCCTATGTGGCCATCATCAAAAAAAAGAAATGAAATAACAAAGGGAAAAAAATTACCAACGTTTGTCGAAAAAAAAGGCCACAAAATGGTCAAAAAATTATGAACAAAAAAAATTACTAAAAAATGGCAAAAAAAATTCGGCACAAAAAAAAAAAAAAAAAAGGGTGCAGAGGGCACGCAAAATGAGGTGCCCCCCCCTGAAGACCGACCAAAACGCATTTTCTAAATCTGCACGTTTTGAAGTTGATTTGTGATCCACACAAGGTGTCGATTCTCCCACCCCTTTTCATTTTAATTCTTAAAATAAGACAAAAGGGGGATTACAATATTCCGCCTCTGAAGCGAGCACACCTTTGAAAGTGAGACATCATCACAACTGTGCCAGCTTAGTCTTCTTCTCAGCTTTTACAAAAAACGTGTTCGAATCCGCAACATAATATTTCTTGATACAAATTATTAATATGTACAGTAGGAGAGAAATGAGCAGGCAAACAACAAAGTACAAAATGGATTTATATTCAAAACCTCTTGATTTAAAATCGATCAGATAATTGTAATCCATGGAGGGCAAAATATAATGACCATATCCTTTTCTTAAATTATCTGCCATGGTAGATTTATTATTACCGTCATTATCATTTAAAAGGTTATATTTCGTGTCATTCCCATTTCGACTGTCATTAATGGTCCCGTTGTATGTTCCGTCTAGGGTTTTATTATCATTATCATTGGCGTCGCTCGAGTTGCCGACTGTTACTCCTCCCTTTTCACTTTCTAAAAACAAATGCTCCTGGTTGTTGTAGGGCTTATTCTTAATTTTGTGCAATTTGTCAATTATATTTTCATAGTAGCTTAAAATGTTTAGGCACTTATTACTCAATTGGTAAAAATTTTTTTTTAGACACTTGTGTACCTTTGAAAATTTCGAGTAGTCCCCACAGTAGCGTATAACATCGTCGATACAGGAGTACACTAGGGAGTTACTTAGGGACTTCTTACAACTATCAGATAATTTATCCTTTTTTAAAGTAATACATGTTAACACATCCCTATCACAGTTGTTATTTTTTATGTCATCCTCACAGCCTTTTACGGGTTGTGTTTGATTCAGATGGTGCGTAACTGTGTTGTTGATTTCGGAGTCGTATAAGTTTATTAAATCTAGGAAGTTATTAACATCATTGCTTACGCTACTTGCGCTACTTACGCTACCTACGCTACCTGCGCTACTTGCGCTATTTGCCATTTCGTTTGGAATGTCCAATGAGTAAATAGAAAAATTGGATGGTATAATTTGAGATAACATACTTGTTAGCAAAACGAGGTCATCCACCGCTCCATCGTTTCTTTTTCTTCTCTTGTTGGACTTATTATTGTCATTAAATGTTAAGTGGTTGCTCATGTAGGACAGCTCCGTTTTTAGCATATCATCAAAAAAATTATCGCTCAGTACAGTTATGTCTACGTATGAGCTGTTTGCTGCCTTCTCATATAATAATAGTAGGCCGTACACAATGGGGAAAAAATATCTTTGGGCTATTTTCTTCATTTCTCCCACTTTTTTGTCTATCTGTTTGTTTGTCTTCTGTTTGTCTGATATATAGTGGGCAGCCGTCACAGGGGACTCGGAATCAAAAAGACGGGGTGACCACTACGCCCGTAGCACATACGTGTGCGCATGTATGTTTGTTGGCACAAGTGCCTGCATATCCATACACGCCCGTGACGTCGAAGGCAACAGAAATGGCGAGCACTCCGTATAGTTGCTTAGTCGCTTTCCAAAACAAAAGGTGTCTATTTGCAAGCAATTTGCATTTCCAGGAAACACACTGCGTCGCACTTTAAACGAACTACAATTGATTAGCAGGGCGTGCTTCACACAGGCAGTAAACCATTTCGCGCAAATGGCATACCGCCTTTATTGATTATCGCACATTTTGTACATGCACATGTGAAATTACGTGTAGGGGGTACAGGACAGCACCAAAAATGGAGAGGTTCATTCGCAGGAAAATTTGAAAAGGCAAAAAAAACGGAAGAAAAAATTAGCATTTGGTGAGTGTTCTTCACATGGAATTGCTCACGTTGACACTTGTATTAATATGAATGCGCCGCGAGTGTCGTACGAATGTGTCAACTTTTTTTCGTGGTGGACAAAAATGTAATGAAAAACGCGGTGTGTACAGAGCGCGGGGATATGGTATATCATCAAAGCAGTATTCATAACTTTCTTTGGCGAGTAAAATTGTTTTTTACTGTACTGGGATGGAAAAAATGGACGTGCCCAGGAGAGTGTGTGAGGAAATTTAAGTGGAAGTAAATTTTGTTTCCCTTTTGCGCAGGACGGACAAGTGTACCATTTTTATTACGCAATACCTTTTTCACGCAATAATTTCAACCATTCGCTCATACACACCTGCGTAATTTGAACTTGTGGTGAAAACGCGAACGGAAAAGGAAAACGTGTGAAATGAAATGAAAAAACGATCGCGCTATTTGGTTTTATTTGGGATAATCACGGAAAATATTTATACCCTTTTGCATAATCGCTTGTCCTTCCACATGACGCAGTTATTACATAAGAACATTCTAACATTTCCACACACGTGAGCACAGTTAAGAAAATTTAGACACATGCGAGGACGAAAAATGAACGCAAATTTTTATTCATTCGTTCGTTCGTTCTCTTGTTAGCTCATTCGTTCGCCCAACCGCTTGCCCCTTTTTTTTTTTTTTTTCCTGTGCAGTAAAAATGTGACAAATTTTGCATCAGATGAAACCAAAGCGTCTTTTACTCACAAAGGGAAAAGCATTCATGTGCATAATATTATGGGTTATTGCGGCGTTGTCCTATATAAGGGCTCAAACACCATTTACGCAAAACAAAAAGGGAAGCGAATTCTTGTGCAGATTTCTTTCTTGTGGTGCATGCTGTGCTCGTGGGTTTTATGCGCCTCTTTTTATACACACATATTTGCATATGCGTATGTTCGTGTGGGCACCTCTGTGTGCATGTAGGCCATCACGCATATGTGCGTAATCCCGCAGACGCTTTAACCATGATAGATGAAAAAACAGCTGCAACTTTTTATCAACTGTTTAACGAATGGGACACATTTATACGTGCTACGCATGACCATCACGTTGCTTTTCATTGGGGTCCTTTTTCTAAAAAATGCGTAAAGGGAGCTAAACGGCAAAATGGATAGTCAAAAATAGTGGGCGTTTCGCGCTGCCTGCAAAGTCACTTCGCTGTTTCCCTTTTCCCGTGCTTTCACCCACTATAATGCATATGTTACCCCTGTTGCTGCGCGTGTTTTTTTTGTATTCCAACATTAAAAGTGTAAGTACACGCAGCAAGGCTTAAGCTAGTATGCTCATGCTTCCAAAGTTATGACTATGTGCATACACATATTTATACATACCTATGCTCAGCTCGTAATTGTAAGAGTTCGAAACACGTTTTTACGCCCAGCCTTTATACGCACCCCCTGCAATATGTTATGGGGCATCCCTAAAACAACATTCAAAAATTGCAACCATTTGTGAAACGAATAAATAATGCATGAAGCTGATCGTACAAAGGGACCGCATCCTTCAATGAGCAAAGTTTTTTCTGTCATAGATCGAAAAGGAATACAACAACGATTATAATGATTTTTCTTATCGACGCGTGTGCCCACAGGTTTTATGCTCATTCGTACAACACACCCTCATAAACTTATTTTGTGTGCAAAACCAACTGAACAGTTCAGGACAAAAAAAAAAATAGCTATTTTATGCTCTTAAGATGGGAAATTAGTCCAAAATATAGCTATTTCAAAAGAATGAAATTATTTTTTTTTTTATTCCGCGTTCATACGAAAATGCTAAAAATGAGAATTTTTTTGTTTTTTTTAAATCTGTATTTCCCGGAATAGCTATTTTTTAAAAACAAAATGTTCTATGCCCGCGGCTTCCATTCCGGTGTTATCACCAAAGGGGGCACAAATATGAAGGGTGAATTGGAAGAGGAGATTATGAAGTCGTTCTTGCGACCTTCATAAAAAATGAAAAGGCAAAAAAAAAAAAAAAAAAAAAAAAAAAAAAAAAAAAACTATGGAGAAAATGTAATTGCAATTTGTAATCCCCTTTATTTATGCAAAATATAGCAAAAATAGCGAAAATGTAATTGAAAGGTAATAATTACTCTGCTAGAAAGTACGCCTCTGTCGTGAGGGAAACTCGTCACCATTCATATTTTTCAAGAATGTATGGTGCTGTTGTGGTGATTTAAGGAACAAAGGCAATCCGCATTGTATACATGTATATATACTTATATAGAAAAGAAGAAACTTCGTTCCCTACCTCATTTTCTTCATTCGTACAACGATAGAACAAAGGGGTATACAGTTCAACGTTAGTATAAGTTACAAAATAAAGTACTAAAAATGAAAAAAGGTGGGAAAAAAAAACAGGCGGCGCGCAGCAACCAACTGGGCAAAGGATTAAATGATGATTCTGAAGATGAGGAAGTCATAGAAAGCGAATCTTCGAGCGATGAAGAGGAGGAAACCAACTCCTCCAGTGAAGAATCAATCGATAGTGATTCCGACAATCCGTCGGACAAAGAGCAGGAAGACCAAGCGGAAAAGCAAATACAGATATATTTCACATCGGACGTGGCTAATGAAAAGTACCAAATGGAAGACACGATTTACACCATTCCAGCTAGCTTCAGAAGAATCGACTTGTCAAGGATGGTCAAAAAATTGCTGGATATAAAGGAAAACGTGTC